CAGGTTAACCTCAGACCTCTCATCAGAAACAATGGGAGCGGGAACCAGCAGTTAGCGTAATGGCTATGTCGCTGGACTCCCACGTAGTCGACCGTGGTTCGTGTCCCGGACCCGGTGGCTTAAAACTCACGCCGGGCGCGTGTGCGTGCGTGCCCAAGATCCCGAGAGGAGAATGGAGGAGAAGGGACTGCGGCGTGACCATCCCCCCTGGGGGGTGATTTCTCGCTTTCTGTCTCTATGTCTCTCTCTGTCTGTCTGGCGAGCGCACGCGCCCTACAGTGAAAATCTCTCCAAAAAAAAAAAAAAAAAAAAGGAGAAACAATGGGAGCAAGGAAAGAATGGGAAAATATATTCAAAGTGTTTAAAATAGTTTCAACCAAGATTATTACACCCAGCAAGATTATCTTTTATATGGAAAGAAAGGATAAAAATATTCTTAGATAAACAAGACCTGAAAGAATTTGCCAATAGCAGACCCACTCTTCAAGAAGTATGGGTGAAAGCACTCCTTCCTCTGAAAAGAGTGCTCTACCAGGAAAACTAAAGACACATACAGAAACAAGAGAACAAAAGGCAACCAAGAAAACGACCAATTTAATGCTAGGGACAAGAAATATCAATACTATCACTGAATGTTAACTTCTAGAATTTAAATGGAAAGATTGGACCACAGTAACACTACATATTCAACAGAAGAGAGTTTGAACGTAAGACTGAAATGAATTAGAATTAAAATTTTATGACTTTTGACTAAAATGTTACTGATTTCTTTTTTTTTTACTGTGCTTTGTTTTCCCAATTTAAACATTTTATTTTCGTTTGAGTTGGTGATGAGTTCAGAAACTTGTTAAAATATTTTTCTTGTTTGTTTCTTTAAATGGAAACATAAACTTTTCTTCCTTCCTAACCCCTCTTGAACTGGAAATGTTTGGGAATATTCTTATTTTGTGGCAGAAGGGTTATTTGCATAAGTTCAATAATGCTTGTTGCATTGAATCAGAAATTGAAAATACTCATTATGGGTAGGGCTTTGACTGGGATGTCATAACTGACCATTAATCAGAAAACTATGGAACTAAGGTGAATCTCAAGTAAGCCGATAGATGCTCTTGGAAAGATGGCCTGGTGCCATAAATAGTTCTGCCGGGCAGAGAGGATTAGAGAAGATATATGAAAGAATTTATAACAGAAAATAACCTGGACTTTTCAACCCAGCATTGTAATCAGCAGAGATTGCAAAAGAGCAGCCACACCAGAGGATTATCTTGAGAAAGATGCTGAAGGAAGAAAAAGAGACTGATCTCTGCTAGCAGATGGTATATCACAGTACTTGGTATGCAGGGCTGAATTGAGGTTTATGTGTGACTAGTGTGCTGGGTATTTGCTTTTCAACAGTTTGAGTAGTTGACATAAATATTTTCTCAAAAATATTTAAAATCATACTGTCTCTGTTGTTAGAGTCACAAACAAAATTATACAAAATTATAAGAAATATTTTGAACATTATCTTTAAAATTCAGTATTCGGAAATTTTGAAAATTGTTTATTAGCTTAATGGAGTATGAGCAACATTTTTTGTTATGTAAAATAAATGTTTGTAAAAAAATGTAAAAATAAGTAAATAAATGGGAATAAATTTTTTAAAAAAAGAAAGACATGTACTGCAAGTTAAAAAGACCCTGTGTAAATAAATAACATAGTGGAATTGGGAACCAAAAAAAAAAAAAAAAAAAAAAAGAAGATATCAAAATTCTAGCTATGGCAAGTATGTTGTATACTTAGGCCTACAGACACTCTGGACCAGTCCTCTGTTATTATAGACATGTTGTTGAGAAATTTGAAATAAACCACATAGGTAACAAGGCTTGGTAAACAGAAAACAAAATCCAGGGATATCTGTAGACATCGGGTATTAGTCATGGGTTTTTCCAAGAGTTCTTATCTTCTGACACTAAGTGCATGCCCTGAGTAAGATACCTTACAGCCTGCTGGGTGAGACAAACGTGAATATTCTAAAGCAGTGAGATATGGAGGTTGAGAAAGATTTTCACAAAGTGATAAGTTTACAGAGTATGAGAGTTCATGTTGTTCTTCCTGGTAGGATCAGAGAAAGCTTATCTATGGCTTAAAAAAAGATCTGGAAGAGAGAGAGAGAGAGAGAGAGAGAGAGAGAGAGAGAGAGAGAACTCTGAAGCTTGAAGAAAAAAGGAAGAGGAAAGTCTAATTGTACTAGACTCATTTCTATCCTGGGAAATAGATACTAGACAATTGTTTGGAGAAGACATGGAGCTCAGGGATCTGCACCAGCATACATGAAGCCTGTACACATAGATCTTTTTGTCTCCATAGCTCAAACTCTCCTGACTACATCATAACACTTTTACATATAAAAATTGGAATTAGATCCCAAACTGTGTTGACTCTAGTATTCAATCCGATCTGGACATATCTTGTGGACGTGACATAAATCACGGAGATTCTAGTTCCCTGACATTTAGACAGTGAACAATATAATGACAATATGATTGATGATATAATGTTTAAGAAATAGCATATTCAAAATACTAATCACTAGCAAGTAGAAAAATGATACTTCAGAGTTTTGGGGTCTGGAAACTAGTTTCTGGATCTGTCACTTGTCAACCGTATGTTAGGATAATTAACTTAATTTCTTTGTGCCTTCGTTCATCTGTAAAATGGCAGAGTCTATTCTAGGGGGTAGTTTTAAGGATTAGATTAGATCACATATTTGTAGAACACATTCTGGGAACAAGCAACTTCATGAAAAATAATTCATTATGTGGAAAGAGGAAGTTCATAATGTTAATGTGCATGAGCTTGGTTTGAGGGTGTCAGTCAATGTCTTAGGGAGAAATTTTCCTTTACTTAGGACTTCTTGGACTCAGGGCTAAATCCCAGGATGAGAAAGCACAATTGGAGAACAATGAAAACTAAAAGAACAGAGACCTCTGGGGTACAAGATAGCACGCTTGTGGTGCCATTAGCTACAGATGTGAGCTGCTCTCCTAGGGACACGCTTGGCTCATCACACCCGTCATCGAGTATAGACTATGAGGCCTGCCAGGTTGTGTGTGCACACTTTGATGTGGGCAGTAGACACTTCCTCAGCAAATGCTGTCACCTCAGCCACTGCTTTGGTTTGCAAGGAGTCTTAGTTAGCTGGAACAGAAGAGAGAATCCAGAAGAACACATTCCTAATTTTCAGGAGACACAATTTCCAAGATCATGCTTTGACAGAACAGAAAAATACTCCCATCTCTCATCTGTGGTTACTTTTTCATCTTGGGCTGATGTCTTCTGGGAAACATAGTTTTCACTGAAGTAATAGTGAAAGGAAGGAACTAAGAACATTTTGGCTAATAAGAGAAGTGAACAAGAAGGTGGCAAATGACATTCAGGATGGGCAAGTATATTGGTCAGCCTCCAGTAACAAATGATAGAAAATGTAGTGTCAAGGTAAAGGAGTCTGAGATGTCAGTTTGAATTCTAGGATTGAGATTTAATTTCTCAATGTGTTGTTTTAATACAAGATGAGTGGGATATTAGATGTTATTAAGAAAGTTATCAAATGATTAAAATAAAAGCATAGTTCCTCTAACTCAGAAAACTATGTTGTGTTTTTGTGCCACATACAGGCAAAAGAGAATAGAGCTATAAAAAAATAAATAAAAGGCCAGTAGTAGGGTAATAAGATTTCGGGAACGGAAAACTCCCATTTAAAGGCCGATTGGAAGGACTAAGATTCTGAAGTGGAAAAGGCCTAGAAAGAGATAGGATCAAAGCCTGTTGCAAAATAGAGGGTATGGAGGAGAGAGAATGCAGACCGAAGTTATCACATCCCTGAATTCCAGCTTTGTTAGGTAATCACTGAAGCTTTAACAAGGTTATTTCAAGGTAGGTAAAAGGATAGCCTACTTTTAAAAACGGATAATATGGGACCAGCAGATTGTGTAATGGCTATTTTGCTGGACTTCCATGTAGTCGACCGCAATTTGAGTCCCAGATCCGGTGGCTTAAATTCATGCCAGGTGCGTGTGTGTGCATGCCCAAGATCCCGAGAGGAGAATGGAGGAGAAGGGATTGCAGCATGACCTTCCCCTCTGGGGGTGATTTCTCACTTCCTGTCTCTCTGTCTCTCTGGTGCATGCACCCTATAGCAAAAATCTCTCTCTCAAAAAAAAGTGGGTAATATGCCTATGGAGCTCATCTTCAAAGAATAAACAGGTTAAACATTTTAAGTAGAAAAATTTGAGCTAAAAACTGTGATAAGCCACTTAAAATATACTTTAGTAAACAGGCAGTTGGGGTGTTTTTCAAAGCTTTCCTTATTAATGCACATACAACAATGAACATGGTTTTCTCCTGGCTCATAAATTAAATTAGGGTATTTAGTGGTAAGGGATTTTTTCTACCTTTTGAGAGAACTGAAATAGTCTGACGTTTTATTGTCAAACTTGTACGTCTGACTGAGATGAGAATATGAGCCCTGATTTCTGACTTCGATTTCAGGCCAGCTCAGAGAACAAGACTTATAAAGGAGCATGTTGTTGACATTTTGAATTACAATTGTGAATGATATTAACAACAATAGATGGTCTTTTAGGTAAAATCACCATCTTATGTAAAAGAAAGCACTCTATTCTTAGGCAAAGCATCAGCATTTTAGTCTGAGTGTAACTTGTTAAATCATTCTTGATGTGGTATTTTAGTCTAGGAATAAACAGAGGGTTTCGCATATCGTTATTGTTCTAGTCTGAGCTTTCCATAATAGTAACAAAAAACTGAGCCTAATTAGTCTCTTCCAGTAAAAGTATTTGAGAAATTTTCCATTGCCCAATACCTTCCCATAATGGAAAATACACTGCATGGGAGGTATGTGTAAATATTTGATTCATGTTTTATTGATTTCAGAGTCAAAACCTATCAATCATTAACACTTCAAAAAACATATACCTGGTTAGTTGTTTCCAAACTATGTTCTCTCACTGAAGGCTTAGACTCTGGAAACTAGAAAGTCCCTGGTGAGTACTTAGTTTAATCTTTTAATGTCATGGGTGTTGAAACTGAGATCAAAGATGTTTGGGTGACTTTCACATAGTCCTCCAACCTTTGCTGACTCCTAAATCTTCAGGCTGTCAACTCTGTGTTCTTCTTAAGACACCATGGGGAATGACTGCTCACTCTTTGTTCTGAATAAAGATATATAAAAGTATAATAACACTGTAGTGGCAGAAGTGGAAGTGAAAAAATCCTAAAAAATCGTAGGCACAGGTATTTGCTTCTGATGCTAATGCATTTGGTGGTCAAGTCATAAAATAAAAAGATAGCCTCTAGATAAAAGGATGTGAGAATGTTAGCTTGATGTTGTACTACTATGAAATTAAATCAAGGTCCCAACCTAGTGCCTGGTAGCTTATGCTAAGTATGCGAAAGAGTTAAATGTGGGTGGGATTTTTAAAAAATATCAAAATTTCAGGGGGAACCAGCAGTTAGCGTAATGGCTATGTCGCTGGACTCCCATGTAGTCGACTGCGGTTCGCGTCCCAGACCCGGTGGCTTAAACTCACGCTGGGCGTGTGTGCATGCGTGCCCAAGATCCCAAGAGGAGAACAGAGGAGAAGGGATTGTGGCATGGCCATCCCCCCTGGGGGGGTGATTTCTCGCTTTCTGTCTCTGTCTTTCTGGTGAGCGCACACGCCCTATAGCAATAAATCTCTCCAAAATATAAAATAAAATAAAATAAAATAAAAATTTCAGACAGAAATGCCTGGGTTACTTCATTGCCAGGCTTTATTTTTAGAACATATATATCAAAATACAAGATAACAAATGAATTTTGTCTGTAAGACAGTCAGACCAGGTATTTGGTAATGTGTGCACTAAAGCCACTGCTTCTAGGAATTCACTATATCAGTAGTCTCTGGCTGATGGGGTGACACAGAGGGGAGCCTCGAGGTGTGAGTCAGACATTTTTTTTTTTTTTTTTTTTTTTTGCCAGAGAGCATGAGCACACTCGAGAGAAAGACAGAGATGGAGAGGGAGAACTCACCCTCTACTAGGGCATGGTCACAACACAATCCTTTGCCCTCCACATCTCTATTCCTTCGGGCAATTAGACATGCATTCATATACTCCTGGAGTGTTTTTCAAGCTGCCAGGACCTGGATTTGAACACAGTATCAGTCATGTGGGATCCGGCTCCCTTTACCACAAGGCAGCAGGGCCAACCTCATTTTGAATTGTGAATCAATACTTATATTGAGGGTTAATTTCCCCATACTTAAGTGGAAAAGTAGTATGATTACCTTGATAGGAGTTCAAGATCCTAAACTTCTCAGTTGGAAACTTAGGCTTAGGGTAAAGCCAAAACTCCTTGATTAATTTATTCAGAGAAGTCGGCAACAATACTGGGAGCCTTATCTAGTTGCAAAGTAACTGTTTTTTCTTCTGGATCTTGATGAAGGGATTTCTATACAACAGCTTCCAGACTCCTTGTTTTCTGGCCAGTGCCAGCGCTGATGGCTCGTCATCCCATTTTCAGTCTCTCTTGAGCAGAGGCCATGTGGGGCCAGAGACTGTAGGAGCCCAACCTTCAAGGAGCTGCTGCGGATAAAAAGCTTCCCCTGAGTATGGGGGGGATCTTGGGTGGGGGCAGTATGGTATATTTCAGGGAGAGCTACTCACAACCTCGCTCTCTTCTGTGACATAAATTAATGATGAGATCCATATGGTACTATTAGTGGGGAAATTGTGGCTTACTCCCTTAGAGAAAATCAAGCAGAAACATCAAGCAGAAATAAGTTGATAGGCAACAAAGAGAAAGCAGGATTTGAGATAGGTGTCATAGACAAGTAACAAGGAAACCATTCCTCCCAGAGCCTACTCAAGGAAATTAAAAATATTTTTATCCAGATCAGTTGGTAGCCTGATGGTTAAGGTGACTAGATCCCACATGGCTGTCTGAGGTTTGAGTCCTGGACACACCAGGTAGAAAAACACACTGGGCATGTATGTGTGCATACCCAAAACCCCAAAAGGAGAGAGAAATGGAGGAGAAGGAATTGCAATGTGACCAACCTCTATTGGGACTGCTTTCTCACTTTCCTTCTCTCTCTTTCTCTCCTTCTC